TGGCTCGAGCCGCGGAAGAAGTGCAGGCCAAATGGCCAAAGAATCGGTTGGTGCTAGGTTAGCGGCTTGGTTGGCCAGTGAGGGTAGGTGAGTAGGTAAGTAGGTAGGTAGGTAGGTAAAGTAAGAACTTAAGTAAGTAAGTAAGTAAGTAAGTAAAAAAGTAAGTAAAGTAATAAGGTAAAGTAAGGTAAGGTGCGGTGAGGTAAAATAAGGTACGGCAAGGTAAGGTGAGTGAGTGAGTGAGTGTTAGCTAGTTGTTTAGTTAGTCAGTTAGCTGGTCGGTTGGTTAGCCGGTCCGAAAGTCACTGAGTCAGTCCGTCCCTCCGTTCCACGGTTAGTTAGCTAGCTAGTTAGTTATGCAGTGAGTTGCACAGTTGAATAGCTTGCTAGTCAAACGTAAATAGCTAGCTAGCTGGTTGGCGCCAACCAGCTAGTTCGTGAAGTGGACTGGCCAAACAAAGTCGAAACTGTTTGTTTGCCATCGTGTCTTCAAAAAAACAAGTCTAGGAACTCAAAAAGTATAACCTGCCTGCAAGCGCCTTCACCATGTTGAAGAATGAGGCGCAGGCCTGCCATCGAGAAGGGAAGGCGCAAGTGACCAGGCCACATCGCGCCCCTAATTGCGAATGGGGTCCTCTCGGCAGCAATATAACGCGCAAGGTGGATATTTTTCACTCGCGGCCCTCGTCCGGTGGCACTGCACGCATCCAAAGGCCGGAGCCTTGTCTGCATTTATGTCTGTGTGTGTGTGCATTTGTCGGACATCTATAATATGTATATATATATATATATACTGTATATGCCTGATTCTGTATCCACAAGTCGACAGGTCTTGGGTGCTGCCCATTGAAGCTAGTTTCCACTGCCCTTGGTACCCACAGCCTCCTTCCCAACACGCCACCAGGTTTTTTCAGGAAAGAGGCCTTAGGGCTCCCAGTCAGGTTTCGCATTCGTCGGCAGGGAATGACGTTAATTGTTGGCTTGTTCCAACTTTGCCAAACGAGCCACAGTCCAAAACGAGGTAATTGGACAGGGGACAGTCCCCTGCCCCCAGAAATGAGTGCGCATATCCGCCATTTATTTGCATGGATTTGGCATTGTCCAAACCTGCCTCGTGGCTGATGAAGTTGACAACTGCCAGCTTTGCCCATGGCAAGTGGACAAAGTCGTAGGGCTTCCTAAGGCAAAGAGCGCAGGGCCCAATTCCAAGTTGCGCGACTTTTCCCTTTTCAGTTTGGACCAGGCCAAATAAGCCGAAACAGAGCTTCGTGCCTTTTTGGAGGGGGCAGGCTGCCTGTCCGTACATCCCAATCTTGACTCCCAATGCAGGCTGGCGTGGGCAAAGCTAGTCACAATTTAAACTAGGTCCTCCAGTGGAGAGGATGGAATAAGGGTGCCCTTTTTTCTGTAGTCTATTTGAGTAGGGAAACCCTCCCAAAAAAAGGGTAAAAGGGCACTACTGGGGGACCTAGTAAAGTTTGAGTGGCTCCAAAAAGCAAAGCACGCGTTTTCGTGCCTACATCTCATGCGTCCAAAGCCAGGCTAGTGCCGCCATCCAACCGCCGAAGCGAGTGACAGGTTGTGTTCAGATGGTGGTGAAAGATTGGGTGGCCGACAAAAACCAAACATAACTCGAATGTGCCGTTTCTGGCCTGGATCCCAGCTGAAAACACATACAAAGGCAGAGAAGTCCATGTGTTCCAGCCTTGTCTGTTTGTCAGCCCAAAGAGGATTCTCCATCAATTTGAAAGAATCTCAAAATGTTCTCCACGATTCCCTTTCTATCAAACTGCCCGTTTTCCACTACTCCTGGTCTTAGATACTATATTTCGTGATTACTAACCTTTCACCTATTGCTATCCCTTCACCTATCCACCATGCAGCCCGAAACAGCTGAACACTTGGCACTCAGCATTCTTCCCAGGACGCAGCCTCCGCCAACATCCCACTAAAGCGGCATGTCCAAGTTAAGGCCTGGCAAGCATCGCCCTCGTTCATCCACAGGGGTGCCAACAAACATCTGCAAGTTGCAACTAAGAAATCTGTTCACATCTAAACGATTCATGAATCTGCAAATGCGGAGCTTAGTCACAGTAGCCCCATGGGCAAGAAGCGCCGAAGAAGAAGTTGCCAATATGGGCTCTTCCAACTTGATCTTACAGCTCAAGTCTAATCCGCCAAGATACTGATGCCACTGGCCACACAAGCCTCGGCGCCGCGGAATCTGTGCCACCTTCAGTTTCCTTCCGATGGGTCTCTTAACATTCCCAAAACTGGATCTTTCGGTTTTCCCTCTGGTTGCCCTCCAAACTGCAAATTTTACCACGACATGTCCAATACCTGACCGGCGAGAAATAAGAAGTAAGAATTGATCCTCAAGCAAAGGATCCTTTTTACCCCCGAGCGGCGAGCCATGAATTCCGGCTGCAACCCATCTGTTTTCGCCGCTGGAAGGCCGGCTCAAATGTTCGCTGTTTTGGTGCCAGTTGCTGTGGACGAAATCCTCCTAGGAAACACCGAAAAGAAACCCAACGGAAGGATGATTCCCCTGGAAATACCAACCCAATTTGCTCTCCCATGGTTTCAAAGCGGGGCGAAATGGATTTCGTCCATCCACCAAGCTGCAAATTATTCACCATATGGCTGTGGGTCAAAAATAGGGCAACTCCCAAAATGGGTTACCCTGGTAAGGCGAACAAGGACCAAAACTGCGGCCCCCTAGTGTTTTAGTTCTGACCCTTTCCCGTATGTCCAAAACCTGGAGCCAAAAAAAATCAAACGGGCCCGCAAGGTGAGCTCGTTTTTCCCTGGAGCTGGCCATAAAATAGGCAGAAATCCAGGCGGCTCCCAAGGAGTGGCAAATTGACTCACGTCTTCTGCCCAGGAGCGGTGCAACTCAATCAAAAACTCCTCCTGAGTCATCTTCCGGGAGAGCTTGAAGAGCAAAGAGGTCGCCGTCGTCGACAAGCCGACGCCTGCAACAGGCCCGAAGAGGCCTCTCTCGTTGGAGGGCAGAGCGCGGCTCAGCTGAACATTTCGGCGCCCCAAGCAGGCAGTCAAAAACAAAAGCATCCCGCGCAAATGAGCAGTCGGCGATCTGTCTTTGCCCCAAAAATTGCGGCTGTCCATTTGGCTTCCCCTGAAAACCATCCCGCCCCCCAAAACGGTACCCTCAAAAAGAAACATACCCAGATCCTGCCTGCACCTGAGAACTTGCCGGGGAGTGGCATGAAAGGCTCAGATGTGCGTTGGAACAAGCGCGCGCAAACCCCAGTCAGACCTTCGAGCCGGCTGTGCTGCGTTTTGGCAAAACCTAGGAGCGCATTTTGCACTTGTTTCTGCTGTTCTTTGTGTGCTTCCCTTGCTGCACCGACCCCGCTGCAAAAAGTGTCAACTTGCGGGTTCAATGGAAGACTCGAACTGTGTCCTGAAAGGCCCACACGAGAGCCCACGTTCCAGGTGTGGGCTTCAAGTGTGCCACCCTTCAGATTCAATTCGCATGCAACATGGAGACACTTCAACTCTGCTCAAGTTGATTGAACCCACTCGGCCCAAGAACCGCCGGCGATCGAGCCCACTGCCAGCCGCAAGCTCCGCGGTTTCCAAGGTTTCCAACATGAGATCTGGGGAATAGACGGACCCCATGTCCCAAAATCCCATCCCAAGGCGGGTTGGTACTCCTTGCACCAAGGCTCCCGGGTTCACATTGCGTGCACGCTGACAGCATGGTGGAAGAGAGATTCTTGCGTTTCGCATAGCCTGGCATGAGCACAGGCTCCGGCGACGGAGGCCACGGAGCCAAAAACGAACATGCAAGCGAGGAACAAGGGGAACCCTGTGTTGCATTCATTTGAGGGTTCGTGCACTTGTAACATTTGGAGCCACCGTAAACTGCACACAAAGAGTGGACACTTTCTGAGTGCTTAATATGATGTTTTCGTAGGCTCATGTACAACTGTAAAACCAAGAAACACTAAAAAGCGGAAGCCCAACGAACAGAGAGCCAAGTCCGGCATTGCCAAACTCAAACTCACGAGCTGAAAGGAACAAGGTATGAACAAGAGATTTGCCCGCAAGAGGCCCAAAAGCCTCACTAGCCGTAGCGAGGTGCCAATCAAGTTGCATCGCTATGGACGCGGGGTGAAACGAATTTAAGAACTTCCCAACCAACTCTCCGGAGCACCGTGCTCGACTTTTTGCTTTTTTGGTTTGTTGGCCTCATGCTCTGACTTGGATGTTCAACCAACTTGGTAAGTACATGTCAGCGTAAGTGTAAGTAGCTTGAGCACCCAAGCATCCTGCCTTGGGGAATACGGGTCATTTGAGGAAGAGATGTGGAAGTCCGATGCGAATGACATCCACTTTTTCACAAGTGCAGACTCAAGTGCGCTTTGCCAAGCGCTGTGGCAGCATTCGCAAGGCCTGCTCAACCAAACATCATCAGCTTCCCTTCAATTGGTGGTTTGGATTGGTGGTTTGGTGGAATAAGGAGAGTTTCCATGCACCCTGTACAAAAGGCAGGGTTCAAATCCCCAAACCACCAATCCACCAACTGAGGGATACCTGACCTCCAATCAAAGCCCCGGAAAGCCCAAACGTCGGTGCCTACATCGCACTGCGCCATGGCAGGGCGACGTCCGAAAGCTAAGCGTTCAAGCAGTGTTGAAATATGAGGAGCATCCGACGGGTCAAGCCTCCAAGCCTCCCTCTTGAAAACAAGAATAACGGAATGACACCAACTGCCAACAACACTTTGACCTTGACAAGGCCGCTAGGAGCCGTTCAGAACTCCAGACGGGAAGCCGGCGCAAAGAGATCGCTCATGCACTGACACATGCAGATGCAAACACACGAACACACGCGATTGCCATGGACAGACTTGAAGACTTGTTCCCAGCCCCTCTGCTACACAAATGACATTGGTTGATAAAAAAGACTGACTGATATCAAAAGACTGGCCGCGCTTGACGCTTGAAGCGCACGCTCCTCAACCCATGCTCTTTTCTCAGCCGCCTAGGGTCTTGCAGCTTGCAGGGCGCCCCGCACAAAAACAGGACTAAACCTCTGTCTAAAGGAGCCACGGCTCATATGCTCCGTAACCCCAGCTTGATAGGATTTTTTGTCTGGGGTGGGGGGGGTGCGATCCCGTTCCCCACTGCTTCGTGCCCCGACCAAGCACTGGCTTCAAATCATCACCAGCTCCGGAAACTTCATTGTCACCTCCATGGCGGACAGCGAGTCGCCCTCCTTGCGACACAGTAAAAAATGGTCTTGCAAAAAAGAAGATCCCAAAGGCGACCTCGTAGCGTTTTTTTCAATTTCAGATTCTGGTACCAAACACCGACGTTTCTTGTTTTTTTCAGGGTATCAACCTCTATCTTTGGGGCTTTGCTGTTGGCCTTTCGGGCTCCTCCTCTGGGATCCACTGCACGTCCAGTTGCAACAGCTCGTCCTGTGGCCAGCTAGCTGTTGTGTGGCGGTCTGAGTTTTTGGCTCGGTACTCTTGCTGGTGCTCAGCAAGGAATGAGTTGGAATGACCTACAAACCATCCACCTGTGATTTTGTTGGGAATCCCCAGGCTCATTCCATTTCTCATTCCCTGCTTATCGCACCAGCAAGTCTTCCTGGGGAAGCCGGGAGTTGAACATCACCAGGGTCCCCCCTCCGTGCGAGACCTGTAGAAGTGTTCTCCAGGTTGTTGGCCCCGAAAACAGAACTGGTTTCGGCAAAAAATGAACGAACCCAGGGAATGCACCTGTAAACTGTAAACCCGCTACATTACAAGGAAACTAAAAGGGGGTGGTTTTTGGAGGTTCCAACTCATTGCATGCCTATGGAACATGGTAGCAAAAAAATCCCCCCCTCCCAATTCCACAGCTGCTAAAAGAGCGGTGGGCACAGGATAGCATGGAATCCTCGTTTCGTGGGAGGGGCCGAACAGAAATGTAGAAGCCCAAATAGACGGGCCCTGACGCACCCGATTGGACAAATGAGCCCCCATTGACACCCATTGAAACTCTGTGGGTGAAATCCAGAAAGCGCACGCACTGTTGAGATAAAACAATATTTGCAGACTGAATGATCAACCACCACCAGTAGTACCTCTTTCACGGAGAAATCGACTTCAGCTTTCGGCCTCCTGCACCTCGCTCACAGACCCCAGGACACGCTTCACGTCCGACATGCTCCGGATCTTGGCCTCCTTCTCCTGCACCAAGAGATGGCATGACGTCAGTGTGTTAAAATATGGGCTGAAAACAAAAACACACACACAGACACACAGACACACACACACACAGGCACACAGACACACAGACACACAGACACACACACACACACACAGACACACACACACACAGACACACACACACACACACAGACACACACACAGACACACACACACACACAGACACACACACACACACACAGACACACACACACACAGACACACACACACAGACACACACACACACACAGACACACGCAAACAGACACACACACACACAGACACACGCAAACAGACACACACACACACAGAGACACACACACACATACACACACACAGACACACACACACACACAGACACACACACACACAGACACACACACACAGACACACACACACACACACAGACACACACACACACAGACACACACACACAGACACACACACACACACAGACACACACACACAGACACACACACCCACAGACACCCACAGACACACACAGACACACACACACACACACACACACACACACACACACACACACACACACACACACACACACACACACACACACACACACACACACACACACACACACACACACACACACACACACACACACACACACACACACACACACACACACACACACACACACACACTTATCTCGAGAGGCTGCTCTTGCAGACACGCGATTGTACTGAAAGGGCATGAAAAAATCAATCTGCAGTGCAAATGTCACATCATCGAAACCGAACATGAAGCAAACAGTGGTAAACCGAGGAAACACATTAGGTCACGAAAGGATGGCAGGTACGCCGGAATGGCCAATTCCGGTATCCCGTCTTGCTGCCTAGCTTTGTTAGACCAGGTCAGCAGCAAGACGCCTGGTCCCCCTGCAATGTGGAATTTCCGTCCGTGCTCCAGGACGCTTCACACACACGGAGCCCCAACTGGGGCGACATCACTTGTGCAAGGCCCATTGAGTCTTGCAAGCATCAATTGTGCGAGAAAGTCTTGTGGCGATGACTGACCACACATACTTGGCTTTGGAATTGGTCTTAAGGGAACGGAGGAGTTCAATCTCTCCCTCAGTCCAAGGCTGCGAGGCTTCAGGTTCGGCCTCAGTAGAGGCATCAGTCCTGGTCGATGTGGTAGCTTCGCTTGGTCCACGAGCAGGTTTTGGATGCCGTAGATCGTGAGGAGGCCAAATCACGTGTGCGGCGAGCTCGTTTTTTGTCGGGAGAAGACGGAGGAGGAGTGGGCGGAGCCCAATGATCAGGGAATTGTTCGTCATGATCAGTGGGAAGGTGTTCATCTGGAGCATCAGGAGGTGGCTCAAAGAGGTCCTCGAGGGGGGCCAGGAGGGGTGTTGGTGGTGAGTTGGTCAGGTCCTCAATGGCGGGGTTGAGCGTGGCCTCCGGTGCCAAATCAGGTTCGGCAGTCGGACTCTCAGGGAACTCGCGGATGGTGGCGATGCCTTGTTGGGCAATGCCAAGGATGAGTTCGAAGTCTTGGAGCAGCTGGCGTGCTGTGTTGGTATCCATGCTCGCAACGGATTTTGGTCAAACAGTCAAACAGCTGCGGCGCGAAAATCAGGTCAAATCTGTCAGGATGCAAAGGCAGAGAAGAAAACCAGTGTGGTTTCGCAAAGGACGGTTTTTCTTCTCTTTGTAAGGTGAAACCGTGTTGGAGGTACAACCTCTTCAACATTGCAAGATCCTGATCTCGCTGAAATTCAGGAAAGGAAACTCGGCTGATCAGCGTGCGTCTGGAATAATATCCAGATTCCTTATGTATCATTGGTGCGGCTGACTTGACGGAGAGCATGTTGTGCTTCTCATGCGAGGGGATGAAGGAGATGGTGCTGCTTGTGAGGTTCAGTCGGAACCCCAAGAAGTCCAGGGCGGCTTCTGTTTCCAGGAAGATGTCTCCTCCATAGAAGTGTTCGTCGCACAGTATGTTGGCTGCCGGAGTCGAGAGCCACCTGGGGATTGCGATCACGAGTCTGTTGTCCACGTAGCGGAGCAGGAGAGTATCTTCAACGGAGCGAAGTCCCGATGTGATGTGAGTGTTGGTCCAACATTGTTCGGCGACCGCGATCACCATCAAACAGAGAGCTGGGGACGCGGGGGATCCCATCGGTGCCCCACGTGTTTGCCTGAATGAACGAAGGCCGACAGAGAAGATCTGCATGTCAAGGGTGGCCTGAATGATCTCGGGGATGTCGTCGAGCCACAGGGTGCGTTGTGTGGGTTTGTGTCGGCGACGGCGTCCGTTGTAGACGCGGGTGATGGCAGAGGTGTCAAGTGTGTCCACTGTGAGGTGTGTGGTAGAGGAGTGTGGTTGTCGTTGTCGGTACCAGGTTAGCAGTAGTCGCCAGGCGAGGAAGGGTGCAAGCATCGGTCTGGAGGGGCCAGGTGGAATGAGGCCCCGGAATCGTAAACTGGATCGAATGGCGGAAAGGCATGCCTGGTGGTGTGGTTCAGGCAGGTGTGTGGCTATGCGATGAAGGACATAGAGAGCGGCGGGTGGGAAGTCTCTGCTCCGTATGTAACGGATGGCATCAAATCGTCGTAGAGTGTTGCTGCCAAGATCGCCCAAAAATCGCCACAAATCCAGGCGGTTGTTCATGCGCTTGGCCAGGAAGGCCTGTTGTAGGGCGATGGGTAGTCGTAGTCGGCGGCGTTTTCGCCAGATGGTGGCGAAGCCCATGTGCCGGGATTGGGAGAAGTCCAATTGGCGTATGAAGCCCGTGCGTGGCCGGAAATGTTTCTCGATGAAGCCAAAATTGAGAGACGGTTGCAGTTCCTGGATGTAGAACTGTTCAGTGGCAAATAGGTCCGTTGCTGGAACGACAGTGTGAATGGGCACCGAGGTGTAGTGGTGGAAAATGTCAAAATGTGCCCACCACCGGACTGCCAGTTCGGCATTGACCAGATGATGTCGCTGAACTTGGAGTAGTTTGCGAAGTTGGCTGTGGTCCCGTGCCATGAGGGAGGTGCGAGTGGCTCCGAGGTAGAAAAAGGTCTGCCACTTTGGATGGCTGGTGAATCTCAGATAAACCGCTGAAGGGACAAGCTGAGAAGAGAAATCGGAAGCAGGGTTGTCCAGGCCAAGTCGAGTAAGCAGGGCTTTCAGTCTGCCGGAACCACAGGAGAGATGGCAGACGTCAAGTAGCTGAAGCTGTGCGAGTAGCCAGGAGCAAGAATGACGTGCGGTGACGTCATCGGTTGGGAAGAACCGAAGAGTGAAACGGAGGACAGTGAGAAATTGGCAGCAGTGGTGTTGCCAAAATTTGTGCTGCCTGGCTGTGCGTCGTTGTCGGTGTGCTGTTGAGAGTCACTGGTAGAAGTGACTCGCAGCGGCCAGGATGCGGCCCAAGGCCGATGACCCCAGTTTTGATAGGGTTCGCACCGGGATGCCCCATAGCACAGCGGCTCGTTCGAGTTGGGCTCTGGTGTCGGAGTCCAGTGTGGTTGCCCATTTTGCGCAGTCGTTGGACCAGCTTTTTAGGACTTGCTTGCTCTCTTTGCTGGTTTTCTGGGAGGTGATCCATCGCTGGACTTTGGTGTCGGAAATGTCGGGTGGGAAGTTGTTGGTGAGCCATTGGCAAACGTGGGGAGGTGGTTGGAGCAAGTCGCGGGGCTCCTTCCAAGTGGGTGGGGAGGGGAGGGGGGGAGGGGTCGGGGTGCCGCCGTGGGTGGAGGGGGCTGGAGGGTTGCCGCCGTGGGTGGGGGGAGCCGGGGGGGGTTGGGAGTCGTCTGCAATGCGAGTGGGCAGGGGTAGGGCGGGGGATCCGTCCTGCGGTGATGTGTCAGGTGTAGTCAACCGTGGTCGCTTCATGCCGAAGTCCAGGAGGGAGGCCTGAGATGGATTGGCTGGGCGTTTGTTGGATGAGGTGGGTGTGGGGGGGAGGGGGGGGGATGAAGCCTGCTGGGCGAGTTGGTTGTGTGCGTCAGCAAGCTGTTGCTGAAGCTGGAGTATGGTGGCCGCGGAGGCCGGGTCGGCCGTAGTGGTGGGTCGGAGGGAGATGAGGAAGTCGAAGATCTTGCTGGTGAGTAGCTTCATGGCTGCTGGTTTGGTGGTCGAGGCGCCCTCCTGCGTGGCTACATGGAGGGCGAGGGCGTCCAGGTCGAGGTGCCGTTGTCGGATTTGGCTGAGTAGTCCAGCAGCAAACACTGATTCCGGCATCGACTTTGCGACAACGATGCGGACTTCGCCTCCGTGGGCGAGGTGACGCAACCACCAACTGTTCCACTGTTCGTGCATGAAGTGGAGGAGGGGGACGCGAGCGATGTCTTGTCCCTCGATGCCCATTTGCCGAGTAAACGCGGTGTGCGTTATGACCTTGGGCAGGTCGTACCCCGCGACGCGGGTGGTGTCGTAGTGATCGTCGCCAGGGTTGAACTCGGTTGGTGTTGGGACTGAGTGGACGGGTCGAAGGGCCGGGGGAGGTTTGGATTGCGAGGCGGTGGAGGGGGAGGGGAAAGGTGGAGGGCGGGTGAAGGGGCCGGGGGGAGGGGGGGGAAAGGGGTTGCCGCCGGGAGGGGGGGGGAGAGAGCCGCCAAAGGAGGGTGGACGAGGGCCGGGGTGTGGTGGGTAATGGGGAATAGGTTGGCCGTAGGTCTGACAGGGAGTCGGATGTGTAGTTGGCGGTGTCCATGTCGTGGAAGAGCATCCGTAGGAAGGCCCGGACAGGGCCCCGCACGGGTTTCCGGCCATGTTGTTGCCGTACACGATGCCATGATGATGGGATGCCGTGGGCGAAGGCTGCGGTGGTAAGTTTTGCCTTTGGAGCACCGGAACCAAACCTCGAGGGGGTTGGAAAGCCATGAGAAAACACGGGGGAAAAGGAAATGTTCGAACCAAAAGCTGGTGAGCGGAATCAAGCGGGTAAGGTCACAAGGCGAGAGAACGGTCGCGGAAAGGCAGAACAGCAAAGCAAAGAAAAAAGGCGATCAAACAGTGCACCAATT